AAAAAAAACTCTGGACATACTGTGCTCAGTTATCTTTTTATGAGAATTATCGGTGGTACCAAGGGACAAAGGTTTTTTAAAATTAAAAAGAAAATTTTAGAATAATTTTTTTTGTTTTACTTGAAAACATTATCATAACAGTTACCCTAGTATATTGTTGAACTCATTTAGTATTTCCTCTTTACAAAAGAAGATAAATCTTATTGCTTTGCTTATTAAAATTAGGTTGGGAAGGAGGTAGTATTAGAGTTACTTCTTACATTCCGATTTGTTTCTCCACATACATAACCTAAGGGATACCCAGCCCCTTGCCTTAATCTCTTGATTATGTTCTTCTTTATTGATAGGGGCTAGATAATAAAGTGACCATTTATTTGTTCTGTCTAGTTCCCATTTTCTCTTAGTCTAAGCTAATGAGAAATAACAAGTTATTTCTACAGTCCCCCTTTAGCTGTGGACTGAAAACAAATAGAAGCTACTTACATTGTGGTGTAAGTGTCTATCTGGTAGAATCTTGAAACATATAGAAAAATACTAAGAAGAAAGTAAAAACCACCCCTGATCCCACAATGAGATAGTTATTGTTTATTTTGATGTATTTATTTTCTGTTCTTGTCTAATGCATGCGTATAAATATATTGAAATAGTTGTGTATATTTATATTCTGTTCTACTGATTTAACATAGAGGTCCTTAAACATTTTTTGTGCCATGGACTGTTTTGACTATCTTAAATGACAGTCCCTTTGCACAATATTATTTTTTATTTTTGTTGTTTTTCCCAGATTTATTAAAGTATAACTGACAAATCACAATATTTTAAATGCAAGAAATAAAATATATGAGAAACAAAGGAAACTAATTTTACTGAATACAGTAATAAAACTATTAAAACAAATTGATAAAGTAAATGAATAGATAAACTCGACACCCTTCTATGCATGTTGCAGATTGATTAATTGTTTTGGGAAAAAGTTGATCTGTGTCTTAAAAAATTACTGAACATTTTGTTTCAGAACATTTTATTTAACCTTTTACCTTTAAAGCCATTAAATAAAGTTATTTTCTGCTTCGCAGTGCTTTTGTTCCATTGAATGTTCCCAATAACAAAAATTCTACAGAATGGGAAAAAGTGAAGTTCCTGTTTGAAGAACTTGGAAGTAGTCGTAAGTATTCTTTTTAAAAAACTCACAGTAATTCGTATTTCCTGATCCTTGGGACTTTTGAGAAAGCCTGTTTTTACTTTGTTAAGAATTCAACCCCACAATTTTTCTAACTTGTTAAACATATGCTAGACAAATTAGGACCTTTGTGGTGTTAAGACTCACTTCTAGCTATCTAGCTATTATGTATCTAGTTTCTTGACTGCTTCATAAAATTACCATGTTGAAAAAAATTTAATCTTTTCATCAAAGTATTTTAGCAGTGAAGGTGTTATAATTTCTGTGTGACCTTTAATTCACTTAGGGTAATATAGAATAATATGTTAAAGAAACGTACTGGATGTATTGGTTTTTATTGTTAATTTTTAATTACTGAGAGA